AAGTTTTTGGAGGGTGTGCCCTTAAGACATCTGGTGGGTGGAGGAGGGGGCAGAGGGAAAACCTGGGCTATGATGCAGTCACAAGCCCTAGGTGGCTCTAGAGCTGGGATGGCCTTTCAGAGTTAGGTCAAGGTGATGAGCTGTTATGTACCACCTGGACTAGCTGTTCTAGGTCACCATGGGCAGAGGAGGGACCATAGGCAAGATGATGTGAGGGCTGGCAGCAGTCCTTGCAGCTGAGGAAAGAATCAGTCCTGCAGAGGGCTCTGGGTGACACAGGAACAGCATCTGCCCCATGACCTGTGCCCTAACTTAGTAAGCTTAGTTAGGAACCCACAGTATGCTCAGAATGGAAATGAGTAGCTGCAAAAATGGCCCTAAGGAGCTATTCCTGGCACTCCAAATAACAGGATTTCAGGACTTCTTTTGCCACACTGGTAAGGGATGCATCAGCACACACACCCCACAGCACCCCCAAATCCACATTTAGAATCCACTCCCTATAAGACATGAACAGATGGATAGATGGGGTTGGTGTTGACTTAGGAATCATGGCAGTTGGGTTTGGTCAGTTGATTTGGGCAGGAAGCTGAGGTCAGAGAGGCTGTGTATTTATCCCATTCTCGTGATTTCCAGTTTCAGTGGCGATTCTCCCGAGAAGACATACACAGCAGGCAGATGAGGAAATCCAAAGGTAAACTCGGTGCCAGAGACAAACGACTAGCAGAAGAAAACGAGAAGAATTTRGAAGACCAGTTCTCTAAAGATGGAGATGTGGGAAACTGTGTGCTGGACAGGCAACAGGAGGATGGTGCCTCTGAGATGATGAAGGTTCCTGTTCAAGAGGTCAGAGAAGAGGAGATGGCCCCCGCCAGCTATCTGGGAGGGGAGCCTGCAGAGTGTGGGGCTGTGCAGAATGGTCCTGCCAGCTTCACCAGGGCCCCGGTGGCCTGCGGGCACTCCAATCCTGGAGAGGATGCTGGGAATAGGGGTGCAGAGGAAGTTGCTGGAGAGCCTGCTCCAGCAGAAGAAAACTGAGTCTTAGGCAGGTTACGCTGAAGCTAGATGATCTGGCAAACCGGAGGCATCTTGCCAGCAGCCGGTTTGCCCTGGTGTTGTGTATTACCCTTTGGCTTGACCTCTCCTTGTGAGCTTACCCAGGCCCTTCCAGGGCYGGTCTCTGACAGTGTTGGTTTCTGCACATCTGATTGGAGGGTGGCATAATGACCCTGTGTTAGAATGCTAGGTCAGGTTACTTACTTTAGACCTCAGGGTTGGAGGCCCAGCCCTGGCTCCACCACTCCTCCTGAGGGAGGGTCTGGACCATCCAGTGCCTATACCACCCCCMAAGGACCACCAGGGTGAATCTGGGTCAAATCTATGGCCATCCCTGGCTCTAAACCAAGGCTGTTGTTCCCTTCCCACCCTGCCAGAGCAGTATCTGTCCCCTGCTGCTTTGCACAGCAGCTACCTGGGGACTTTTAACTACCCCCTGGAGCCCTATGAGCTCGATTCCTGCTGCTTTGGCAAAGAAAGTGACAACATTGGGGGGGGGGGGGGAGGTGCCCAGCCTCCTGGCTTTTCTCAAAACAGTCCTTGATACTTGCAATTTGGAAATGAAGAGGTGAGTCTTTGTGCACCTACTCTTACAGAATGTTTAAAGGTGTTCTGTGTTAGTATTAATGCCAAAAAAAATTTTTTTTGTGTTCAGCACATCCTATGAATGTTACTTCTGTCATTTCAGAGCATCTAGGCTGGCTGGGTGCCATCGTTATGTGCTATTTTAATCAGTGTATCATTGGCCAAGTTGTTACCCATGTATGCTGTGTCTCATGTGTTTATTGTTCAGAAAGTATTGTTAAGGCTTTAAGTAGACGCATCTGGCAAACCTTGGAGAATGCCGATTGTCTTGACTGAAATAACAGCCTGTCTCTTGTTTAGTTACTTAAAGCAATAAATCATCTGAGTTTAATGCCTTGTGAGTATTTATCATGTGACAACAAAAGTCCTGGCCTAATGTCCAAAGGACTCCWCTCCTCATCCTTTATTCAGGTTTTATAAGTTTCTAACTCCTGGCAGCTTGATGATTTGTGGGAAGAGAACAAAGCTCCTATGGAACACTGCAGAGCCAGCTGGGCACACTGTGCTTTCTCACCGTCTGTAGAAAGATGSAAACGACATTTAAATGCCACCAGGTAAGCAAAGGGGGCATGGGGGTTGGAGATGGATATCTTCCTAAACAAACCCCAAACCCCACTTTAAGTTTATAAGCATGCTTCCAAGCTTTTATTAAAACTCATCTGTAATGTTTGTAAAGAGAATTAAGAACCTTTGTACAGCTATATCATTTAGTGGTTCCCTCTTGACACACCCCCACCCAACCCTCAGAAGGGTTGAAGGCCCAGTTCTAGACTTTTCTTAAAGAACCTAGTTTTAAAAATGACATTTTCCGCAATTATACTGTCATTAATATCTATACAGCATTTTGACTTAATACAAATCTTTCTGGGCACAAAGCTTAAAAGATCATTATTTAAAAAAAAAAAAAAAAAAAAAACTATTCCTAAGAGGCTGGATGAAAACCACTCTAGAAACTTTTAGTATACAATCCCAGGCTGGAAGACCTTCTTATTCAACTTTGGGTACATTTTTTCCATTATTAATTGGCATTTATGTTGGCTATATTTGCTGTTTGGGAAAAAAAATTAAAGGTGACTGTAACTAATTTGAATTCCTCAGAGTTTGCCCTAGTGTCAGGCTAACAAATAATTCCAGAAGGTCTTGATTTTTTTCCTCCGTCTTCTACACTCCTGCTGATTCTGGCAAAACATCAGTCTACAGTGGACATTCTCAAATTGGCGCCTCCTGAATCACACTGGAGCTTTAAAAAAATACTGATGCCCAGGGCCTACTCCCAGACTCTGAATGAAAGGTCTCGGCAGTGGCCCGGCCATGGGGATTTTCATAAGCGTCCTGGGGATTCTAAGGTGTGGCCAAGGTTGAGAACCAATAGCCACAGGATCTCTGTGAGTGGAATCATAGCTTTTTCTTCAGGAAATAAAATGCTTTTTCCAAATGGTGAACCACCAAGGCTCTACAACTCAATCCCAATATCCTGCACATGGGAGGACTCCTGAGGGAAATCATCTTCTTGTGACAGGGTGGAAGGTCATCATTTGTAAAAGCTGCAGACTTGTGGTAGCTTGTGGCTGTTGGAATGGGAGTTGAGGGTGATCAGGTGACTGAAGTGTGACATTCCTAGGAAGCGAGAGACGAATTCCAATTCTTTCACTAAGAAAGTATTTCCAAGATTTCACTTGGGCACCTCTGCAAAGTCAGGAGGAGGAAGGAGACAAATTCTTGCCCCATATGTTTAAAGAAATGTAGGTATATTGCTCTCAAGTGACAGGGCCACAAAGTCAAAGTACTGATACTTGGAGAGCAGGAGGAAATCKGTTTTTCAAGTGGTGATGCTGTTTTATGTAGGGCTCATATGATAGAAAAGCCCCTCCAAGCTTCGGAACTGGACAGAACTGGTTAGGACGCGAAATCTATGCATGTAACCTCAGGTTAATTTCTGCGTTCTCAAGTATTAAGGTGAGTACCTTTAGCCCCTTTTGTATCAGATTTTTGTGAGCATAAAGATGGTCGTKAAGTACTTAGTCTGTGGATAGTAGCTGATCACAGTGCTGACAAGAAATACACATGGTAGCCTTGCCCAGGATCCATGGGTTCCTATTCTTACAGTTTGGGAYCATGAACAGATGGGATATAAAGCCACTTAGGAGGCCGATCTTTAAAAACACCTAGAACACTTAGACCTTTATTTTCAGCACCCCTGACATATTTCAAGATGGATCATGACGACTGTTACATAATCTTTGTTCTAACCCACACCACTGAGATGTTCAGGTTTGTCCGATACTGAAGCATAATATATCCTACCCTTAATAGAAATGCTATCATAATATTTATAAAATCCTAACTTATTTGGTAGTGATTATAAGTAACCAAAAAGTTTCAGTTAAATATGAATTTTTCAAATTTTCAAGCTAATCCTATTTCATTCAAGTTGATGCTTGAGGAGAACAGCTTTAAAAAAGCTTCAGCAGGAGGCATACCAATTCCTTTGCCTCTTTTATCTAGTACTTGGACCAAATCAAGTCRATCAGGGCCTGGTTTCTATCACTGTCTTTGGGGAACATTTTTTAGTAGTGGCAGGCCTTCTTAGTAGGATTATATTGTACCTAAGCTCATCACTCATGCAACATTTTAGTTGAGCTCATCCCCAGTGTGGAGTGAATGCTGCAGCGAACAGTGACCCAGGCACTCTGCTGGGGCTCAGCAGTATGGGATAAAGAGGAAGCTGCGAAAGGGTTGGCAAGAGGTGGAAGTGGGCAGCCAGGAGCTGGGGCACTGACTTCCAGTGGCCCTTCCAGACTATAAGCAGTGTAGTGCACTCTGCCCGCTCAATGACCCATCAAAATGACTGATACAGCTTCCCAGGAGAGTCTGTGCTTCCTGTACCTGATTCCCAGAGTTTGGAACAGGGAAGCATGTGGATGTTAGATCCAAGGACAAGACATATTAAACCCTTGGCTGTGATTTCTGAGGTGTTTATTGCTAGAGAAGGAAGCAAAGCAATGTTCAGCACAGGTTCCTGTTGATGGTTTTCTTAGTCCTGGCTACAGAAATGACTAACCACAGTTGTAGAACAGCTGGCTCTGGGAACCCAGTTGGTGCTTGCTTCCCCAGGCCTGCCAAACTGATGGGACACTTACTCAAGCACAGGCAGTTTGGGAGAAGGTTTATTTGGGGAGGGGTGGGTACTGGGGATTTAACTCAGGGGCAATTTACCACTGAGCTGCATCTCCAGCAGCCTCCCTTTTTAAAATTGAGACACGGTCTCGCTAAGTTGCTGAGGCTGTCCTCAAACTTGCTATCCTCCTTTCTCAACCTCCTGAACCACTGGGAGTATGGGCATTTACCACTGTGCCTGGTGAGATGTTTACATGGGAACAGGGGATAAGCTTATTCACTAAACAGATATTTCTAATTCCTATACACTGTGCTAAGTGCAACTGGGGTTTCTAGTCAGTTTTAAAATCAGGGAAATGACACCATTTGAGAATGGTGGGCATGCTGGTGGCCTATAGTAGAAAAGGGGGCTGATTTGAGAGGGAGATAGTGAAAGTACCCCCTAGCACCATCCTTATCAAAGGCATTTCCTGGAAGTAACACACATTCTAGTGAGACAGCCATTGCTTGCACAGATATGTTTTCAGCATTAGTCAACAAAGTCACTAGAAAAGTCTTGATGGCGTCTGACGAACTAAGTCTGCTCTTGCGAAACTCCTCCAAAAATTGAGTGCCTGATTCAACTCTGAATGCCCGAGGTTATACCCTCAGCTAAGCACCCGAGGGAAGCCACCCTGATTGACAATTGCAGAAACTGGATTAGGAACAGCTTAACATGCCCTTTAGACAGGTAAAAGAAGAAAAGTTTGTAACCCTATAACTGATACAGTAAAACACTTCTGTAACTAGTACTTTTCTGTTGCTCTTAAGGCTTAATAATGGTAAGACATATTTCACTTCTCAGGGGAAGCTGTAAAATGGACCTCTCCGTGAATGTTTGGTCCTGGGTACTTCCAACCTTGTTGTGAAAACAAAAAATGGTTTTCTAGGTGTAGGTGGACACAATACCTTTATGGGGTGAAGATCAAACCTAGTGCCTCATGCATGCTAGGTGAGCCACAACCCCAAGAAAACTGGCCAATTTCTGGAGCCAAATGCCTAAGTTAATACCTGTCAAACTATCAATTCATCCTATCTGTTAAGTCCACTTTAAGCCCCAATAGACGAATGCTAATTTTTTCACTGATGGCGATTCTACCCTTTCTCTTAGACCCTGACTCCAGAATTTAATCAGCAATATAGAAGTCCTCTACATCAAGCCAAACTTTTCTCTTGCTTTATTCCAAGATATTTCTATCAATATTAGAGATACAAACAAGTCATTGCAACAATTAAATATTTGAAGCCAGTTAAGACACATCTTAGTCATCTCTCAACAGAAGGTCAACCTCAATTCCCCTTGCTCTCTAAAGCCCATTTTCCACCATGAAATTGTGGAGTGGTAAAGCTGAAAAGGACTTAAATTGCATAGTCCTACTCACCTTGATAAGAAAGGTGGACTGAGTCACAAAGCCAGCAAATTGTAGAAAAGAAATGACCGAGGTTTCCAGAAGCTTGGCACCATGTTCTTTCCATCAAACCACAAAACCAACCATTCTAATTCATTTTGGGTTTCTTCTCTCTAGGCTCCTTAAGAACAAAGTTTGAAAGCTCTGGAAATGAATGTTTTGGTTTAAAAAAAAAAATCCCCCGTTTAGTAGTATAGAGGATTCTGGAAGAAGTCTGGGGCTAAGATAGCAACGTCCTCTAATGAGAGAGAACCAAGTTCTGTAGACCTTATCACTCTCCCTAGTCATGTTGACCTCAGGCAAGCAGTCCATCCACTTGGTCTCATTACCCTTGTTAGTAAAATGGGAGAACATCATTCACTCTTCCTGAGATAAAACACTTGGCATTGGAGAGGTACTGCTGTTATGTTCAATGACTAATAGAGCACCAACCAAAACTGGGTTAACCCCCAGATTTACTATTTTCCAATTCTGCCTGTAAAAGTGAAGGTATAACACCAAGCATCTAATCTATGTTTAAATAACCTGGAAATAAAGTAGTAAAAAATATACAGAATATATTAAAAAGTGAGAGGCGACAGCAAGATTGTGTATTAGAGGCACCTAGCACTCATGCTCCTGCACAAAGAAACACCAAAGCAACAGATGTACAGTGGCATATTGAGGTGATTATGGGAGATCCTGAGAGGTGGGACAAAAACCTAAATAGAAACATTATAGAACCTGTGGCCCAACTCTACAGAGGTAAAGCTGGAAGAAAGGATCCCAGCAAACTATCAGCATGGGTACTAGAAATCACAGGACACTCCAAAGTTTCTAACTAGAGAAGTATCCTAGCTCTGGAAAAGGAAGTCATATCATTCCCCAAGAGGCTGTGACYAGGCGCCATGTTCAGAAAATACCTACTGTCTGAATTTGGACTGCTCTGGGGGTCAGAAACYCCCAAGACTCCAGMCATTCCACTGTACKGGCTCAGCAGGTAGGTGCCTCAAGAACCAAACTTGATTCAATAGAATGATTCTGATACAAACCCTGAGTGCTGCATTGTAGGGAACRGTACTGCCCTCAAGAAATGGAAGGTTAGGGAGCCTGCCCTGAGTCGTTGCCATTTGTGTGTGGTTTCACACTGGTTCTAGGACATACAGTTACCCATGAGGTTCCCAATGCCCTCCTGCCCACAGTAATCTGTTGAAGCAGTCTTGAGCAACTTAGGTTATGCACACTTAGGGCTAAGTGATAGCCAAAGGTACAGAGAAACTGTCAGGAGTCAGCTGTATTTCATTCTCCCTTGCTTCTGCAACCACCCCATAGGGACTTTTCCTGGTTGGACCCACTCCTGTTCCATCCCCAGGCAAGGATAGGGGATTCTGAGGTCCTGCTCCTGGGCAGGGACCCTCATAGGAACAGCACAACTGCTGCCACCACCCCTACACAGGTCCCACCACCAGTCACCTCTGTKTCATATGGCTAAAAAGCCTGGGTATGAGTGTCAAAGAGGAGGAGCTGTGGTTCCTGCCCCAGGACTCCCCATGAAACACCTGGGTCTGCACAACTATCCAGTTAGTGAGTTGGGCATTTCCCTACTACTAGAGCAGCCGGTGCCAGAGACCACCTCAAGTAACAGCCAATACCACAGTGCCTGGGTAAACCCCGTCACCAGAGTGAGGCCACCTACTCCCCCACCCTGCTGTCTACACTACATCTCCCCGAAATGTTGGTGTGACCCACAGAGATGGTGATCTGGCTCTGATAAACAAGATGTCCGAACKTACTGCCAAACAAGCTACAGCTAGACAGACTACACTGAGGCACCCAGCTGGAAATAACCTTAGCATTGCATAACAAATCAATACCCAAAGACATTTAGAAGAAAGCTGTTTGCTAAGAGGGCCATCCCTCAAAAGTGATAGAAATAAGAAAAAAAACTCTCGTAACTGATCACAAAGATACTGAAATGAATGAAATGCCTGAGGAAAAAAAGTCAAAATAAGTGAAAACAAGATAATCCAGGATGTGAATGAGAAGTTCAGTTAACGAATCTTGGAAATGGAGAACTGAATAAGTCGAACAAAGTCAGTTGAAAGCCTTAATAGAAAACTAGATTGAGTGGAAATAAGACTTAGCTTGGAGACAAGTCCTTGAAATTCATATTCAGAAAAGAATCAAAACCATCTCTGGGACACCATTAAATGAGTATAGCACTGGCATATCAGAAGAGGAAGAAATAAAGGTTAGGGCTACGGAAAAAAATTTCCTAATCTTGGGAAACACAGAGATGCCCATATGCAGGACACTTACAGAACCCCAATAGACATCATAGAAAATATTTTCTGGTCATATGTCATGGTGGCAAACTCAAAAGTACAAGAATTTTAAAATCTCCAAGAAAAAAACCACTAAACCACACAGAAGGGCAACCTCATTAGGCTAACAGATTTCTTAGCAAAAAGCCTATATACCATGAGGGCATGAAATAATGTATTTATTTGATATCCTGAAATAACTGCCAATCRAGATTATTCTCCTTCTGAAGGATAGCCTTGCTGGGTGAAGACCTTCCAAGATAAGTAAAACCAGAGGAATTTATGACCAGCCTTATAAAAGGTGCTTATGAGTGTCTTATTACTGAAAGATAACTACCCTCACAATGGCAAGTATAAATATAATACACAAACGAATCATTTTCAATAAACCAAAGATGAGTAAGAGGAAAAGAATAAAAAAATGACAGGCATATAAGTCCATATCTTTCAGTAATAACTCTCAATGTAAATGGACCTTAAAAGATACAGACTGGCTGAGTAGATTAAAACAAGGACTGAGAAAAAGGGGCTGGGGGTGTGGCTTGGTGGTAGCAYACTTGTAGCACTGGGTTTGATTCTCAACACCACATACAAATAAGTCCATCGACAACTAAAAAAAAATGTAAAAAAGACTGAGAAGACAGAAAATGATAGTCAGATATAAAATATAGTTAGCTGCTTGGCCTAACAATTCATCAAGATAGAACTAGTATAAATTTATAAATACCTAATAGCAGAGCACCTAATTTTATATAAAAAAAAGACCTTAAGTAATGGAGATAGTCCAATATAATAATAATCAGGGGGTTTTCATACCTTACTCACTAATGGATACAACCTCCAGACAGAAAATTAGAGGTAAGTGATACTGTGGATCAAATGGGCTTAACAGATATTTACAAAACATTCCTGTAAATATCTAAATACAACCTCCCACACAACAGCACATAGAACATTCTCTAGAATGTACCATGTATTGAGCCACAAAAGAAAACTCCCAAATCCTGATATCATTCTGTTTCATTTTTTATCACAATGGAATACAATGAGAAACTTTAGAAATTATACAGACTGAACAACACACTTTTGAATCAACAATGTGTCACTGAGGAAGTCAAAAGGGAAATTTAAAAATTCCTTGAAGAAAATGAAAACAAAACGGAACCTAAGGGATACAGCAAAAGCAGCGTTAAGAGGCTTGTTTGAGTACCTCCATCAGAGGCCCTGAAACCACCTCACAATGCATCTCAAGGACTAAGAACCACCTAACCCACAATTAATAGAAGAAATAATAAAGATCAGAGCAGCAAGTCTTAAATAGAGTTGGTTCTTTGAAAGGGTACAAAACTGTAGACTAGGATAAAGAACTTAAAAATGAACCAATGACAATTGATATCACAGAAATACMAACGATTATAATAAGTCAAAAAACCTATAATGGCCATTCTAAACATATGTCCTATCAAAAATGAACCACAAGGACCTAAGAAACCTAAATCGGCCAATGACAATGAGACTGAATCAAAATTCTCCCAATCAAGTTGAATCTTAACTTTTTTAAAGAACTAATATCAATGATTATCACAGAATTGATAGGGAATCCCTCCAAMCTCATTCCAAGGCCAATATTATCCTATGATCAAAACCTGCCAAGGGTACAACAAAAAAAAAGTGCAAAAGYCCTCAGATTCAATTTGCTAATATTTTGTTAAGATATCAAAGGATCATATACACCATGATCAAGTTTGTTTCATTCCAGGAATACAAAATATCAATAATCACATATGCCAAAAGGAGAAAAATCAGTTCAGAAAAAGCACTGGATAAAATTCAACATCCCTTCATGATAAAAAGCCCTGATAAAATTAAATATAGAAGGATCAGACTTCAACATAGTAAGACTACATTTGACAAACCCACAATCAACATTAATATAGAATGGGGAAAAAACTGAAAACATTTCCTCTAAGATCAGGAACAAGACAAGGGTAACCACTTTGACCACTCTTATTCAATGCAGTACTAGAAATTTTAGCCAGAGCAAGTTGGCAAGAGAAATAAAAGGCATACAAATAGGAAAGGAAGTCAAACTACTCCTGTTTATAGGTGATATAATTATATCTTTACATAAAAAAACCTAAAGATGCTACTCAAAAACCTATTAGAACTTCAAGTAGCAGGATACAAAAGTCAGTAGCTTTTCTGTACACCAATAATGTGTTTGCTGAGAAAACCTAAAAGCAATCCCATTCACAAAAGAACCCCCCCTCCAGAAACCATGGGAATAAAAAGTAACAAACATTTATAATTTAAGAAATTGATGAAAGAAATTGAATGACACTAAAAGAGATGGAAAGATCATCCATGTTCATAGATTGGAAGAATATTGTTAAAATGTCCATACTACCTAAAGTGATCTACAGGTTCAATACAATCCCCATCAAAATGCCAATGACATTCTTTACAGAACTAGCAAAAAACAATCCTAAAATTTATATGGAAGCAGAAAAGACAAATAGCCAAAGAAATCTTGATTAWAAAGAACGAACCTGGAGTCATCACAATAACAACTGATTTAAAGATAATCCACAGAGCCATAGTAACAAAACGGCATGGTAATGGCATAAAAACAGACAAACTGACCAGTGAAAAAGAGAATCCAGAAATAAACCCATACATCTTMAGCCAATGATTCTTGACAAAGATACCCAAAACATACACTGGAGAAAAGACATCAACAAACGTTGCTGGGAAAGCTGGATATTCACATGCAGATTAAGACTTGATCCCCATCTCTTACCTGGTACAAAATGAATCA